GACATGGACGTAGTTTATCATCTTACCCAGGACGAAAATATGACCTGAAACAACATAAATGAAACTGCCTCGGAAACTTAACAGCTTCCTTTTAATCGTCTGAGAGGACCCCTTTTTAGCTTTTATCAGAATGGCTGATGCTAACCTACAGAGGAGTGACTTATCGCGCCTTCCCAGACAAAAGTTTTCCACTTCCAGAATATAAAAAGGTTATATTGAATCAATTTCTAGGTCTTCTACTAGGAAAATCGCTTCCCTAAGTCGAGCTAGAAAACTTCTCCAGATTCTATCTTACATATTTATAAGTCTACCATTCGTCCTTGCTGTGAATATTACTGCCACATCTAGTCTATTGCTCCTGCTATATATATTCTTGATAATATTCAGAGACGAATCTTCAATGTTAATGGTCCTGACCTAGCATCTCAGCTTTAGTCACTTTCCCACTGCCGCCCCTGTATCTTTTTCTGTAGATACTTCCATGGTAGCTGTGCCGATAAACTCTCCTCTATGATATCTTGCTTTTAGGAATCTAAGCTCAGTACTTGATTAGCGCAAGATTTCATTTTTTTTACAGTTGAAATTGTTAGATGTAACTGTAATTTCTATAACACTTTCTTTTCTCGCACTTCTCGCTTGTGGAAAAATCTTCCAGGATTTTTTACTCCCCAGTCAAATTTGATCTTCAAAAATTTTAATACAGTTTCAATTCTTATCTTCTGTTTTCTTAATTCTTATTCTTTTATTATCTTCTCTCCTTAAGATTCTCTAATATCCCTTGCGTCTTAGTGGCTTTCTTGCCTTGCTTAGGGGGAAATGATTAAAAAAACATGAAAGTATTTTTTTAGTTTTATTTATTTTATTGTTTAGGAATAAATTAACTATTATTTCCTGAATTATTTTGTCATAAATATACTTTTTATGATTATAGAAGTATTTAAGAAAAAATGGTTCTAAAATACGTGGTTTAGTTAGGGTTAACGGTTCGATTACAATATCTAAAAATATCGAATTAAATTTATTACATTTAATTACGATATTCACTTTACATCAAAACGTTTTTATAATTGATATTTCATTAATTTTGTAGTATAAAATCTCATATTACTTTGCCATTAAAAAAGAAACGAGCTAAACTTAAATTCGACATACTTTTTAAAAAATGCCTTTTAGAAAGAAAAACACACATCGAATATTATTTTTATCATCAATTTTATTTGTTCTTATGAATAACAATATAATAGAAAAAAATACTTAATTAACATTATGGAAAATATAATTGAATTTTTAAATAGTTTTCTCGGTGTAAAAACAGAATCGATGAAAAAAGACATCGGAAGAAATAGCTGTCAAAAATTAAACATAAAACATTATTAAAATTAAAATTCTTGAGAGAGAGAGAGACTTTGTCCCAATTGTAATAAGAAAGAGTAGAAAAATAGGATTAATAAATTATTTCTTCAAATCAAGTAAAATTATTTTTTTTTTAAGCATTTCACCCCAAGCAAGGCGGGAAGCCACTAGAACGCAAGGGGTTACAGAAAATTTGGCGCAAGATCAGATAGGAGTAATAGAGGAAAGGATGAGGAGAAGGATAGTGGATAGACCAAGGCAACTGGAGATGTCGATTGACATTACATTTGAATAGTTGGAGATTATAGCTCTCAGGAAAACTGGAATAGGGAAGGGAGTTCCACAGGCGAGAGGTGCGAGACATGAAGCTATTAGGGTAGAAGAGACGGCTACATTTAGGAGTTTCGACAGTGAATTGGTGAGAGCGGGATGCCAGCCTCGTAGGGCGCTTGAACTCATGAAGTCTGGGAACCAGCGAATGCAGCTCCTCGGAGCAATTACCATGAAAGTATTTGTAGAACAGACAGAGAGAGGCGACGGCGCGTCTGTGAGAAAGTGACTGTAGACGGGATGCCAGAGCAGGGCCAATTATATTGCATATCCGCCTCTGGAGCCTATCAAGAACCCCGAGGCAAAGAGAAGGGGTTCCCGACCATATATGGCATCAATACTCCATGCAAGGGCGAATTGCTGATTTGTAGATCTGGAGGATCGATTCCGGGGAGAAAAATTTCCTGGCGCGGCACAGGGAGCCAACTTTCCTTACGGTGGACGAAGCAATTGACTCAATGTATTTGATATAATATACTTTTGCATAAGAAATGAGGCATAGATTAAAAAGACTTTTTTTTTTTTAATTTTCTAGATACGCAAAAATTAATAGAAGAATAAAGTTGATTTCTTTTACGTGAATAATATTTACTTTAACATTAAATCAATTTTCAATAAACAAAACCAAAGTTCCTAAGTTATATTTTTAAGTGAATTTCTCAACTAAATATTTCTTTTTCAAATTAAAACATAAAACAAGTTCGAAGAAAATAATAAAATAAATAAAACCTCTACTTACTTCAGTTCGTAAGCTTGTCTCGCTAAAACAATTATGTCCGAGTATTGAGTTTGGCCCTCGTTGGTTACTCCGTGCTTTGGCCCTTGTGCCACCTCTAAGATACGCTTAAAAGATCCCTCTACATACTTGAGTTAAGTGTGCTAAAGTTAAAAGCAGAAGTAAAGAGCAAAAATCTCTGAAGCCACCTACAACAGACCCAGATTGAAGCCAAAAATCTTCGTTACCAGAGGAACGACGAGATTTGAGATAAGCCTCCAGTACTGAGCAGGGGATATATATACCATGGTATGTAAAGCGCGTGTTGCACGTGAGTCAAAATGGCAAATATTGTTTGGTTTTACACGGCAGTCAATAAAATAGATGTAGATCTGTTTTTTTAAGAAGTCTTTAAAGGGAGACAGAGGTTTGTTTCGCACCTAAGTCAAACGGGTAGACTTTTCATACAATTCCTCTTCAGTAGTATGCAGGCTACGTATTCCTAACTGCACCAAGAATATGACAGTAAAACAATTTTTTTCTTATTCTAATTTAAATATAAAGCTATATACCCACTGATGATGAAGAAACAATACATTTCTTTTGATTATTATTTACAGATTTGATCAAGTATGTTCAATTTTTCGTAATAATTTCACCCCAAGCAAGGCAATAATGTGCACTAAAATACAAGCGGTTACTGGGAGTCAAAGAGAATGAGAAGGCTTTAGGGAAGAGAAAAGACAATAAAATAATATTCAGGAAGAGAGAAGATGCCGACTGACGTTTCATTTAAAATGTTAAATATTTTATAGAGCAAGAAACTCGAAGAGAATTCCACGAGTGCGAGGTGCGAGAAAAGAAATTATTAAAGTAGAAGTAAAATGGTGAGACCTAGTTGCCAATCTAGTAGTATACTTCAATTCATGCAGTCAAGGCATCAACGAGGAAATCTCGTCAGAACAGATGCCATCAAAATATATTTGGAAACGAAACAGGGAAATCATGTCAGGTCGTTGAGAAAGTGACTGAAGCCGAGGTGAGAGGCCAGGATTGATAACATTACAGACCCTTCTTTAGATTTTGTTGAGAACCTAGAGATACACAGCGGGAGTCATCAAACCAGATATAACTACAATATTCTAGCCAAGGACGAATGATAAATATTCAGCTGAAGTTTTAACCCCCTATTGGTACGCTAGATTATTCCCTAATAACTATCCTGATTGACTTCTAATTTATATTCCCTAATTTTCCGTTTCATAGAAAACAAAGTGAATTTTAAAGAAAGTGATGATTTTGCTCTATTAACCTGACAGATTCAGTCAGTTATGTGCCATGCGTGATACACGCTTAGGCAATCACGTATATTTCGATACATGACTGACGAGGCAGATTTTTTTTTCCCGCTGTAGGTTGCCGGTAGACCAGTTGCCATCCATGAACAGGAGTAGAACTCTTTAATACCTTGTTCCCGGCTATAGAACCCGATCTGTCTTGCTTATTCATACCTTTCCCAAGGGTATTAGCACGTAAGTGAATGTAATGGATCTGAGTGGAATTCGAACTCGGCTCTCCGATTCCTCAATTCGAGCCGCTATCCATTACTCCACCGTGCCTCCTAAGAGAATAAAAGCCCAAAATATGTAAAGTCAATGTTCTTAATAGCAACACCAAAAATAAAACATATATATCTATATATTATTATATTTTTATTATATGAGAGAATAACACATTTTGCATCGCTACACAAAAGATTTCATGTTTCAATACTGTTTTTATTATAATCTTGTATAATAAAAATATTATTATAATATTTTTCCCTACTTTGTATTGAGCACTAGAGTTCTTTCTCTTATTTGGATATAGTAAATAAATAAATAAAATTAAAGTTACCACCATTATAATGTGGAAAAAAAACATGTGAATTTAAAATTTGAAGTTTAGACCGCCACATAACACAGTAAAACGAACTGTTGAAATATTTGGAATTTACAGAAATACATAAACACAGACAATTTAAGGCACTGGAGATGATCACAGATAAGATTGAAAGAACTTGGGAAAATAAAAACTATTTGAAAGAAAATTTTGGAATTTTTCTTAATCAATTTTCTAAGGCTACCAAGAAATTAATCCGTGAATTTGAAAGGATCAAAACCCAAATAAATCGATGTGATATGTCTAAATCATTTAATCAAACCTGTTTTCAAAATATATTATCTATCCATATATATATATATATATATATATATATATATATATATATATATATATATATATATATATGACAGTATAATAATGCGTGTAAATATAGGCAAATATATGTTGTCAGAAAGAAATGTTTACATGTTTCTCTAGATTCAGAATGTCATATAAAGTTGTTGAATTGCTATAATTATAAAGCAACCGGTAAAATCTTTGCGGCAATTTGAATTCAGAAGAAATTACTAAAGTAAATAATTCTTTTCTCCTTTTTCTTTCCTTTTTCCGTATTTCATTTAGAATTAGAACTTTCATAAAATTAGGTTACGAATAAAAAAAAAAGAATAATCACATAATACACGTTGATGACATGCCAGAAAATTGGAATTTCCTGTACATGATTTCGATTAAATATTTTCAACACCGAACACTCTCTCTCTTCTCTCTATCTCTCTCTCTCGCTCTCTCTCTCTCTCTCTCTCTCTCTCTCTCTCTCTCTCTCAATCGAAATTTAATTTTATTCTCATGTAATTGTCGACTATCTTCTTTTGTCAAAGACATTCTAGCATGACAAAAGCGTTCATGATTAGTTACACAAAAGACCTGCTCAGAAAACTGCTATAGACTCAGTGAAGACATGCTTAGATATGCACCAAGATAAGGACAAGATAATTTAAAAATTATTTATGCATATATATATATATATATATATATATGTGTGTGTGTGTGTGTGTGTGTGTGTGTGTGTGTGTGAAAATATATAGAAAATAGGAAAGAACTCGTTAGGTAAATAATCCAAAGTTCTTTAGTGTTTTTGTTATTATTTTAAAAAAAAAAACAGTGCTCGATACAAAAGTAGAGCCTAAATATAATTATTTATTTAAAAATAATGATTCCATCGCCACATAAGAGTTCTCGTGTTTCAAAACAAGAGCCGAAAACTTCAATATAATTATTTGAGTTAAATTGAATTAAAGTACCAAGCTCTGTTACATCTTCAAGCGAAATAGTTTTTGAATAACTAATTCTTGAAATTTACGCGTTTTTATAAGCATATTCATTATTAAAATTAAAATGACTATGTTAACGGCTAAAAAAAGCGGGGGCGTAAGGTTTAATAATTTGTATCAATACCTCAGTTACATTCAAAGAGGTCAAGTCATGGTAAGGTTGGGGTGTCTAAATTCAAAGCGGAAGATGACATCGTCTAGTCTGGTTAAGTGTCTGAGATATTTTTGAAAAACACTCGCCAACGCCTCTGTTATAAGTATAGTAATATTTTTTGTTGCAGTTATGCATTTGTCTGTTAAACAAGCATTTCAATATAAGTGACCTGGTAGAAATGTAAAATGGCATTAAATGCTTGTTATATTCAAATAAATACGTTGCTCCTATACTCGTAATAAGTTTTGTTGAGTGTTGTTGGTTTGATATATGTTTTGCAATATATATAAATATATATATATATATATATATATATATATATATATATATATATATATATATATAGATACACCTAGTGAGCCAGACAAACCTACCTAGGTTTCACCTAAACGGATCGTCAGGGAAAGTTTGAGCTCTTTTGTTAGTTGTTACTCGTATCGGGGTTTTTTCTTTGGGCTTCAGACCTGCATCTGTGCGATTTTTTTGTCGGCAGAAGTTCATGTTTGTAGCTCTTTCTTTTTTTTAAACCATTTTTCCCTCGAGATTGATTTGATTAGCAAATCAAAAATTCGAGGATTTTTCGAAACGAGTCTAGTTATATATATATATATATATATATATATATATATATATATATATATATATATATGTATATATATATAAATATGTGTATATCTATCCATATATATGTATATATTCTGTTTATACATTATGTTTAAATAGAAAATATATTAAATAATTGACGGAATTCATCCATTTTATTATATATATATATATATATATATATATATATATATATATATATATATATATATATATAACATAATTGTCGAACTTGATCCATTTCATAATATATGTGTGTCCCCGCTGTATTTAGTGGAAAGTTTTCAATGTCTGTGATGGACTTAATATATGCAGTTGCAACTATAGTTGTTTTGTAACCACAGGATTCATGACTTCGCTATCTTCAGACAAACTGAAGATCGCGAAAGCATGAAACCCCGTGTTACAAACTAACATTCATGTATCTGCATGTATATATGTATATATTATATTACATTTATATTATATTTTATATATATATATATATATATATATATATATATATATATATATATATATATATATATATATATATATGGATTATTTCTCAAAGGCATTATGAAAATAGCATAAGAAATAAGAGATGATAACTCTCACAAACAAACAGACCAACCGGTTTCGTTCCCAAGCTCATCAGGGTCAACTGGGAACTATTTTTAATTTTTCAAATTGCAGAATAAATAAGTCACACAAACAACCTACACACAATTAAAATTTAAAACTGAAAGATTAATGGTATGGAGGGGAAAAAAAAATTTTCCTTTTCTTCCTCTTTTCTTTAACTTATACATATATATATATATATATATATATATATTCCTTCCTTTTTTTTTTTAAGCTGTGCAAATATACACAATAAACGAGAGAAGGGGAAAAAAAAAAAAAAAAAAAAAAAAACTTATATATGTATATATAACGGAGTGTAAAGGGAAAATTTGAAACACACTAGAGAATAATGACGTGAAGGCCAAGGAGACAATCTCTTTGCTTACACAAAGATGGCTCCCTGGACCTAATATATAGAGACTCAAGTGCCTTCAAATGGAAAAGAGAGTGCGAACTAGATAGAACAGTGAACCAGTTCGTACTGAACTTCCTCGCACAATCCCTGCAATTTATTAGGTGTTCCGTAATCGCTGAACCGGAAGTGTTAACCAACTGACTCCTAGGAGCTTCCGGATTGAGGACTCTTAATGGGACATGCTGCCTGATTCTACAGTCTAGACGCTGAGATGTCCTTCCTATGTAGTTGGAACCACAACCACATTTAAATAAATAAATCACAGAAGAAACATGATGGGGGGGAAGAGGATCCTTGCGCATAGAGGGAAAGGCAGAACGGGTCGCAAAATGAATAATTAATTGAGCTGAGAAAAAACAGTCATGGACAGCTGACAAAATACGCTTAGCCAAAAGCTCACCTCGAGAACCAATGAATGGTAGCCGTAGATAAACGGCATTTCTGAACACTATATTGTTTTTTATTTTGAAAGTTATTAATTTTATCACGCATAACCACATGAAGAATATCATTAGGATATCCATTACGTAATAGAGTGTGGCGGATAAAATTAAATTCCTCATCAAGAAATTCGTCGCTACAAATCATCAAGGCCCTATGAGTTAGGGTCTTGATCAGATTGATTTTGCGTTTCATGGGACAAAATGAGTCCCAACGCGTATAAAGACCTGAAAACGTTGGCTTCCGAAACACTGATGTAACAAATTGTGAAGGGGTCCGATGCACAAGTACATCAAGAAAAGAGAGACACGAGTTGGACTCCTTTTCAATGGTGAATTTTAGGGACGGATGAATCTGATTCATAACTGTAAGAAAAGAATCAGCTTCCACTTCACTATTAAAAAAGACAAAATGTATCGTCCACATATCGCTGATACATAGACGGTGCATTATCGTGAGTGAGGAGAGACGACTCATAAAAGCCGACAAAGATGTTGGCCATGGCGGGACCCAAAGGAGAGCCCATAGCTACCCCATCTATCTGTCTGTACATGAAATTGTTGAAGCTAAACTCCACAGACATAGTAGCAAATTTCATAAGCTCAACAAAAACCATTTCAGGGATATCCGGAGGTGACAAACTACTTCGATATAACATGTTGCAACAAATATCGATCGTTTCCAACACGGGAACACAGGTAAACAAAGAGCATACGTCAAACGAACACATAAATTTATTTTTGAAGGAGTATCACGAATTATCTGAGCAAACGAAAAGGAATCTTTAATCGTATACGCACTGAAGTGTTCAACAACAGGTTGAAGAAGGTTTGAAAGAAAACTAGCAACCTTATGTTGAGACGAACCAGTCATGGACAGTATTGGTCGGAGGGGTACATTTTCCTTATGAATTTTAGGAAGGCCATATAGACGAGGACGAATAGATCCAACAGGTCTAATGTCATCCAAGATTTCACGAGGTATTAAACCACGTTTGGCCCAAGATAAAAGTTTCTTTTGAAACTTAATTTCTAAAGGAACAGTTCGATCATGTGTCTCCACTGGACCAAGAGGAAGAAATTTAGTAGTGTCGCTAATAATGTTATGCATTTTAGAGACATACTCAGAGTGATCCAGTAGAACAATACCAGCCCCCTTATCTGGCCGAGTAATTACCAAGTTATTATTAGTCTGTAAATTCCTAACTACAGAACGATGCTGCTGACTCCACTTTGACTCAGAAAGTGCTACCGGAGTTAGCGCATAAGTATGCGCAGAGCTGTTGAGATTAGCCTTCAAATTAGAAAGCAAGTCAGCAGAACGAGGTACCAATCTACACAACTGCGCAGATAGCACTTCAAATTCAGAAAAAATTTTTCCTTATCAGGAATCTTAAATGGTATGCAATGATCTAAGCCATGCGAAAGTATACTAGATTCTAGCTCAGTAAGCTCGTACGTAGACAGGTTGGTGATAACTCCAGAAATTGGTTCATTAATATGCCCAAAACGTTTACTGATTAAATGCTGCAACTTAGATTGTTTGTCACTCAATAATTTTCTTGAGGATTTGGATTGAATAAGGCCTAAATAACGATAGAACCTGATCCTATCGAAAAATAAAAGGTCGGTTACACATTCTCTATAAAGGACAGCAAGATCACGGGTAAGTAGATGGATTTTATTTGAATAGAATTGAATAGAGTCCCTCATAAAAATCTCCTCAATTTTTAAGCCTGGATTCAGTTTAGCACTCCTAATTCTAAACAAAAAGGAGGAGGGACAAACATGATTATCTATACAGGCCTGAAGAAATTTACAATCACTTATCAGAATTCTCAATCTTGCCTTGAAAAGAAGAATTTTATCAAATTTTAATTGTGTGTAGGTTGTTTGTGTGACTTATTTATTCTGCAATTTTGAAAAATTAAAAAAAAAAAAAAAAAAAAAATAGTTCTCAGTTGACCCTGATGAGCTTGGGAACGAAACCGGTTGGTCTGTTTGTTTGTGAGAGTTATCATCTCTTATTTCTTATGCTATTTTCATAATGCCTTTGAGAAATAATCCATATTATTTTTTCCTTGCAATATTACGATTTTGCACCTCCAATAATTTATATATATATATATATGTATGTATGTATGTATATTAAATTATATTATATATTTTATATATTATATTATATATTTTATATAATATATATATTATATATATATTAGTTATATATAGATATGTATGTATATATGTGTGTGTGTATATATATATATATATATATACATATATATATATACATGAATTA